CAGGGTATTACAGAAGATTTGTGCAAAATTATGGATATATCTGCAAACCTCTTTTCAATGCCCTTAAGAAGGACTGTTTCCAATGGTCAAATGAGCAGCAGGAGGCATTCAACACGCTTAAACATAAGATGACCCAAGCTCCTGTCCTCGCTCTTCCTGACTTCACAAAGCCATTTGTGCTAGAAGCTGATGCTTGTGCTTATGGAATTGGTGCTGTTCTCATGCAAGGTGGAAGGCCCATTGCTTACTTCAGCAAAGCAATTGGACCTAGAGCTACTGCTTGGTCCACTTACGACAAAGAAGCTTTGGCTATTATAGAAGCACTCAAACAATGGAAACATTACTTTTCAGCTTCTTCTCTCATAATAAGGACTGACCAACAAAGTAAAGGTACATCCAAGACCAGAAACTTACTGAAGGCATTCAGCATAAGCTCTTGGTTAAATTGTTGGGATACAACTACACAATTGAGTACAAGAAGGGAAATACCAACAGAGTGGCTGATGCACTTTCAAGAGTGCAACACAAACTCCATAGTTTGTTTGTTAGTACAGCTAAACCTGCTTGGATAGGAGAGGTTACTGATACTTACAAATCTGACAGCAAATGCAAGGAGTTGATCACCCAATTATCCATTAATCCTTCAGGCTTGCCCAACTACACTCTCCAGAATGGTATTCTCAGATACAAAAACAGAGTAGTGATTGGAAACAGCAAACCCCTCCAAAACAAATTAATTGCTGCCTTACACAGCTCTGAATTGGGGGGTCACTCAGGTCATAGAGCTTCATATAAGAGAATCAAGCTATTATTCCATTGGCCTGGCATGAAGCAAGCAGTTGTGGATTTTATCAAACAGTGTCCTGTTTGCCAAATCAACAAAGCAGAGCATTGCAGATATCCTGGCTTGTTACAGCCACTGCCAGTCCCTGACTTTGCTTGGTGCCATATCAGCATGTATTTTGTGGAAGGGCTGCCTACATCCAACAACAAAGACTTAATCCTCGTGGTAGTGGACAGGTTCACCAAGTACAGCCATTTCATCGCTATGAAGCACCCTATCACTGTCAGTTCTGTGCAGTGGCGGAGGACGAAAAAAATTTGAGGTGGGGCGGACACTAAGGCGTAAATTAAATTATAATATGCCGCCATTCATAATATGAAAATACCACTAAGATCACTGAATTGTACATTGTCACACTATTTTACCACACAGATCACAAATTTAGAAATCTATTTTTTCCATAAATTTGCACCTTTACTCTTACTTTTGTTGTACCCTTTCTTTTCTTACCCATCTGCTAGATTTCTACGTTTCCCATTCACTGGAAAAAACGCCGACAACAGCCGCACAAATTACAGTAATAAGCACATCTCTCTCGCACACATAAAAAAATAGCTAATCAGTAGAAATCCCAATCCCAGCCTAAGCCTCTCTCATCACTCGATCTTTCACAATTTGTCCCATCCCAATCTCTCTCTCAGTCGCTGACCACAATAGCAGCACACAGCCGCCCGCTTCTCACCAAGGCGTGCATAGAGAGCAATCGGGGCGGTGAAGAAAAATCAAGCCAGCGGATGAGAGGGAATCGGGAAACTGCTGTCCTTTTTAAGGGTAAAAGAATGCACCGGTCTTTTTTTTTTTTGAGGGAAAAGAATGCACCAGTCGGATGGGAAACTGCTGTTGGGGGAGCAATCAGGGCGCTGCTGGCCCTAGTCGCACTGAGGGCCCAAATAATGCGGCCTGCGTTCGCTCGATGGCCCATTCCCTTTTCTCCTTTTTTTACCTAGCGAGGCAACCAGGAGCCAGCCAGCCAGCGATCCAGCGATGCGTATACCTGTACAAATTGCATCGTACAAAATCAAGGTAGGGCGGGCGCCCAACCTCGCCCTACCGGGTCCTCCGCCTGTGGTTCTGTGGCTAGAGCATTTGTGGATAATATTTTTAAGCTCCATGGTCTTCCATCCGTGATAGTAACTGACAGGGACAAGATCTTCACTAGCAACTTGTGGCAGGAACTTTTCAAGAAACTGGGCATAAAACTCCACCTTAGTACCTCCTATCACCCCCAATCTGACGGCCAAACTGAGAGGGTTAATCAGTGCATGGAAAATTATCTAAGATGCATGGCCTTCCTCAAACCAACTAAGTGGCACCAGTGGCTGGCCCTGGCTGAATGGTGGTACAATACAAGCTTTCACACAGCCCTACAAATCACACCATTTCAGGCCTTGTACAACAGGAAACCACAAATGCTAGCTGAAGCTGATTTATACCCCGAGGACAGTACTGACACATTACCCTCTGTGCTCACTGCTGAACAGACAGCCAATCAGATCAAGGGCAACCTACTCAGAGCACAGGAAAGGATGAAGCATTATGCAGACAAAAAGAGAAGTGAAAGGTCTTTGGAAGTGGGAGACATGGTCTACTTAAAGCTGCAACCGTATAGACATACCACTCAGCATTCACAGGTGCCTGAAGCTTCATTCAAAATTCTATGGACCCTTCAAAGTCCTACAAAAAATTGGCAAGGTCGCTTACAAGCTGCTGTTACCGGAGGGTTGCAAACTACACGACACATTCCACATCAGCCAGTTAAAGAAACACAACGGCCCTACGGCGGTGCCCAATCCCAAACTTCCACTGATCAACCCTGATGGCACCATCCTCCTGGAGCCCGAACTGCTGCTGGAAAGGAAATTGGTTCCGCGAACCCAGGGGGACATCGACCTTCCAGTGGTACGCTGGAAGATCAAGTGGGCCAACTTGCCATTGCAGGACGCCACCTGGGAGGATGCCCAGTTCATTCAGAAAGTGTTTCCCTCCTTTCAGCCCTGAGGACAGGTCTGGTCTCGCGCGGGAGGAATTGTCAGGACCCAGTAGCGGTGTGATCTCTGTTTTCGTTGATTCAGTTGAACTCAGACTGCTATCCTTTGGCGTGAGGCTGTGGAAACCGTCCATCTTCGATCCAACGCACCTGATGGCTTCGTACCGCTTCGGCAAGCTTCGGAAGGCGTGGTGCGTTGATATCCCATCGGACGGCTCTGGGTGGTCAAGGCGTCGCTGTAAATCTCTCTGTAAAGCTCAACCACTCCCCTCTCCTCCATGTGCGTTCTCGCACCTTCTAGAGTCTTGTAAGGCTATATAGCCAGGATTTGAGAGCCTGCGTGCTCATGCTTATTCTTCCTTGGGGTAAACCCTAGCCGCCGGTGTTCCCGGTTGGTCTCCATGTAACCGAAACCCTAGCTAAACTTCCCTCTGAAATCAAGCTTGGCAAGTGATAATTCTCTGAATTCTGGTGCGATTTCTGAATTTAGTCCGTCAGACCACTCGGGCCTGACACTGTAGTTATGCATAATGGAAAAGCATTGGCTTACTATAGCACAGCTCTTTGCCCTAGGAATTCTGTCATGTCTACTTATGAAAAAGTAGCACTAGCTATAGTAGAAGCTTTCAAGTGGTGGAGACACTATTTTCTGGGAGCAAAGTTAATTATCAAAACAGACCAGCAGTCTCTGAAGTTTATCACTGATCAGAGACTTACAGAAGGCATTCAACATAAGCTAATGATGAAGTTACTGGAATTTGATTTTTCCATTCAGTACAAAAAGGGTATCTACAACAGAGTAGCAGATGCTCTTTTTAGAAAAGTTCATCAGCTCATGACTCTGTCTATGGGAATTCCACTCTGGGCACAGGATTTATATGACAGCTACCAACAAGACAGTCTCTACAAGCCCATTTTGGAACAGCTGCTCTTACACAACAATGCCTCCCCTACAGAATACTCCTTTCACTCTGGAATCATCAGATATAAGGGCAAGATTGTTGTGGGTGACAATACTGAACTGAAACAGAACTGTTGACAGCCCTACATTCCTCTCCTATTGGAGGACATTCTGGTATGAGGGCTACTTATCAGAGAATTAAGAATTTTTTCTTTTGGCCTGGATTAAAGAAGTTTGTGGAGAATTATATTGCAGAGTGTCCTGTTTGCCAGAGAGCCAAATTATACCTGGTCTCTTAGACCCTCTGCCCATTGCTGATATGGCCTGGCAACACATTACCATGGACTTTATAGAAGGATTGCCTAATTCTCATGGGAAGGAGGTAATAGTGGTGGTAGTAGACAGATTTACCAAATATGCCCATTTTATTCCACTTTCACACCCCTACACAGTTCAGTCTGTTGCTACAGCTTTCTTGGAGAACATTATTAAGTTGCATGGCCCTCATAAACTGATAATATCTGACAGAGATAGAATTTTCACCAGCCAATTTGGAAAGATATATTCACTGGGCTGGTGCAGCAACGAACCATAAGCAGAGACGGCAACAGTAACAACTCCTGCACTTGCACCAGTGCACCAACGAACCATAAGCGCACGCGGCAGCGGCAACAAGCAGATTGGATTTTTTTTTCCTTTTGAGTATTGGTTTTTCTATTTCATCTCTAGTCTAGCCGATTTACCATGTAGACCAGCAGGCAACTAGGCATGTACCTTGTTTGATGTTGTGTTTCAACTTCAAAGTGAGGTCAGTAGCAATTAGGCTTTGATTGACGGGCATTCAAAGAAGTATGGTATAAATTTTACAATTTGCTAGAGTATAGTATAGACAGATGTTTGCTATTGTTTCTATTCTTTCTTTTCAGGTCTAGGAGCATTTTTGAATTATTATTTTGACATAATGTTTACTCCAAGGCAGTTTTTAAAATTGGAAAAAAGAAATGGAATACTTCAAGGCTCAGTTTTTAAGTATTGTTAATACTTTTTCATGTTTCTGCTAGTTGAATTTCATGAATTTTGGCTGAGTAGACTTGCATTTGAACCTAAATTTTCAAAGCTTAAATGTTTGCCCCGGCTAACTCCAATTCCTAGATCCGACATTGCGTAAGATATGGTTTCACGTGGCACTAATGAGAAAATGTACGCACAAAAATCAACTCACACAATGGCGCCAAAAACACATACATGTGCAAGAATCAACAAGGTACCTTCTTCGCTGCAGTCTGCTCGAAGATGTCGTCCATCTGCCGGCGATAGAGCATGAGGCGACCGACCGCTCTCCCGGTCATCCTCCCTGCCACCCTTGCCATCTTGATCATGTCACTGGGCTCTGCCAAGAACAGAGGAATCAGACTAAACGGAAAAAAAGGACCCTCACTGCAGTTCCTCACAAATTGAGAAGAGGGAGCTCCCCAAATCATCTTCTTATGGCAGCAATCGGTAACATAACCTATCCGATTTAGCAGCTCAGGCAGGCAATGAGATCAAACGAAAGGCAAGAGAAAAGAGAGGTGCTGCGGCTCCAAATCTTACTCATCATCACGGAGCAGGCCCCGAGGATGACCAAAAGCTGGCCGGTGGAGACGCCCAGCATCTTGTCCGCTGGAACCACTGACCCGCCAGCAGGAGATATAGGAGATCACGCTGCCTGGCGAGGGCGGCGCAGCTGTTGCGCGGAAGCTGGCGAGTTGCGGTGCGGCCGTGACTCGGCTTTGGGCTGGTCCAGGGGTGGTAGGCCGACTGTAAAGAATGATGTGGATCGAATAGTCAATGATAGTAGGGGAAAGAATAAGAGGTTGTAATGAAATCCAATCTTTCGTTGAAATCATGTTCTGTTTGCTGCAGCACAAGCTCATTCCATCACACAATTAATAAACCAAGCCATATCGCATATGCTACAGCAAGCATTTGTAATAAATAAACCAAGTCATATATGCCATGGTTCAACAACCATTCCTACATATTCAAGTATGATTTTTCCTCCGCCATATCAAAGCACGAACAAACCTTCAATCAGCATATTCAGTCCCACAAATTAATATACCAAGCCATATTTGACATGGTCCAGCAAGCCTTATGAACAAATAAACCAAGCCAAAAGCACATGTTGCAGCTAAACTGATTTATCCTCCGCCATATCAAATCATGGACAAACATCAATCAATTTGTAAACAGAAGCAAGCACATGCAGTGATATGGCAATATAAATAACCTGGGAGAGCAAAAACTAGGAATCTGTTAGTCACGTCCCTTCAATTGGCCTACAGGATGTGCCGACCTTGAAACAAGCTGCAAATTCCAGAGAAATAGTTAGCATCTAAGAATCCGGCATGGGAGGAATTGGGATTTAAGAAGTGGTTAAAAGTGAGGCGAGCTGACGCCGCCATGGGGCAAGGGAGGGGGCGGCGACCAGCTACTACTCCATGACCCGCATCGGACATGGACGGGTGGTGGAGGGGTGGGGGTGAGGTCCCCGCATCCAAGATGCGTGGAATAGGCAGGGGAGGGATGAAGACTGGCCGGATGGGGCAGAGGCGGAGAGGGAGAAGACACGCGGATGGCCGGAGATGGAGATGGAGATGTCGAGTGGGGGCAGAGGGGGTCGATGCGGGCCGCATTGGCGATGGGGGCGGGTGCCGGGGGGGCGCTACCGGGGCGAGGTGGAGAGGGGAAGGCCGTTGCTGGCCGGAGACAGGAAAGGAGGGGGAGGAGGGGCGGGCCGGGGCTCACCTGCGCCGCCGCTTGCCGCCGTTTGTCCCCTCGTCCCGCGCGGGCGCCCCTGTGTCTACGGGACTGCCGCCTGAAGACGACCTTGGCCGGCCCAGGCACCGGGAGCCACAGCATCGTTTTTTTGTTTTATGTTTTATGTTTCACGTTTTTCCTTTTTCTTTTTTGCTATTTTTTTACTTTAGTTTGTACTTCCAAATACACTAATAAATATATTAACCAAAAAAGTTTGCATAAAAACAGTTGAAAAAATGTAATTCAAGCATTTGAAAAGTGTTAAATGTGTATATAGAAAATGTTTCTCATGTATAAAATATTATAATCTGTGTAAAAAAAATTGATAATGTATTAAAAAATGTTAATCAACCGTTTGAAAAGATATATTAAATAAGTGTTTGTAAAATGTTAGTCAAGCATTCAAAAAGTGTTAAATGTGTATAAAAAAGTTGACCATGTATTAGAAAAATGTTAATGTTGTATTTGAAAAATGTTAATAAAGCATTTGAAAAAATGTTAAATGTGTATAGAAAGAATGTTGCCATGTATTAAAAAAACTGTTAATCTTGTACTTGAAAATTATTCATCAATCATTTTGACAAAATGTTAAATTTGTATAGAAAAATGTTGACCATGTATTAAAAAATGTTAATCTTGTGTTTGAAAAGTGTTAATCAGAATTTGAAAAAAATGTTAGTTGTGTACAGAGAAAATGTTTACCATGTATTAAAAAATATTAATCTTGTACTTGAAAAATGTTAATCAAGCATTTTGAAAAAAAAAGTTAACTATATATAGAAAAAGTTGTTAATATTCAAAAAGTTAATCTTATATATTAAAAATGTCAATAAAGCATTTGTAAAATATTAAATGTGTATAGAAAAATGTTGACTATGTAATAAAAAATGTTAATCTTGTACTTCAAAAATATTAATCAATCAGTTCGGAAAAAATGTGAAATATGTATAGAAAGAATGTTGACCATGTATTCCAAAAATGTTAAACCTATACTTGAAAATAGCTAATCAAGCATTTTGAGAAATGTTAAATGTGTATAGAAAAAGTGTTGAAAATGTATTTTAAAAATGTCGGCCAGCGCACCGCCGAAGTTGTGCCCCGTCACGATGAGCCGCGCGGCGGGGTGCTTCCTGAGCTGCTCCCGGACCACCCGGAGCTGGTAGTAGGCGAAGGACTTGCCCTTGGGGGCGGCGCCCTTGTCCTTGCGGGGGAAGGCGCCCTCGGGGTCCTTGGCGTCCTCCTCCTGCAGACCGAGCGCCTTGAGGAAATCGAGGTGGACGTTGCCCATGGCGCCCAAGCCCAGCCACGACAGCTCCACGTCCGTTGACCAGTCCTTGGTGTTGAACGGCTCTGTGCCCCAAAAATCCAGCACCATCGCGCTCGCGTCCTTGGCCCTGTCCGTCATCACGAACACCTGCGTGGTGTCCTGATGCAGGAACTTTGCATCCATACATATAGATAGATGGGATCATCGATCTATCTTAGATACATCCATTTCTCCGACAAGTATTTTCGAACGGGGAAATATTAAATATTATAGATAGATTCTAAAAAAAATGCAGATCGTGTTTTTGCTACTTACTGTTCCACCCGTTGTAGAACCCCGCGAAATTGAACTGCAAATCATGACGCACCCAAAGTTATGAATATTCCGTCTGTATTGCCATTTCAAAAGCGGCTGAAAAACTGTTATGAGATATGAGGCATAAAACACTGGAGGAGGAGTACTCCGTCAATTTAGAACTTCGCGTGGCTGCAATAAAATAAAATGGGCCGACCTAGTTGCTATGTGAGACAAAGAAGTCCTTCCAAGAGTGATCCTTCAACCTCGCTTATTGCGAGATATAGCTCTCGCGGCCCCGCGCTCCCTTTTCCTTTTCTGGGGCGTCGAAGCGGTATGGAGTGGAGGGCTCGGACAAATCAGCCCAAAACAGAGTGCGCGGGCAAAGAATTCGCGAAGATGACGCGAAGTGTTCGCGGGCTGCGTCCAATATCTTTATCTTTATCTTTACCTACTAATAAATCTTTATCTTTATCTTTACCTACTAATAAAGCGGCTATCGTTTCTGGTCGTCCGTCATCAAAATTACCCTCCAAGTTAGTAAAAATTACCCACCAATGCCACCCGTAAGTGGGAAAACGTTTCAATTTTTTGGACCAAAAATCGCCGCCTTTTCGTTCTTTTAGAGCGGCACGACGAGCAGAAATCACAGATCGGTCCGTAGCAAAGTGGTAGGTCGAGGTCTCCTCTAGCGATGAGACCAGGGTTCGATACCCAGCCTCTGCAATTTCTATCAATCTTTTCTCGCGCATGTCCTATCAATGAATGCATTCATGGGCCGGCCCATGTGCTGGGCTGTACTCCCCTGTTTTTTTATTTTACTTTTTTATCTTTTCTTTTCTCATTCTGTTTTCTTTCTTCTTTAAATTAATTCGGGATTTTAATATTCTAAAAGTTGCGAGTTTTAAAAAAATGTTTGAGAAATTACAAAATATATGTGAATTAAAAGATGTTTAGAAAAACATAATCTTTTTGCAGATTCAAAAAATGTTGGTGGTTTTGCAAAACTGTTTGTACAATTATAAAAAAAATCACAATTTGGAAAAAATTGTCGGGAATTAAAATCATGTTCATGATTTTGAAAAAATGATTGTGTATTTAAAACATATTTGGGGAACTTAAAAAAACTGTCCATGACATTTTAGAAAATGTTCACAAAAATAAAAATAAATATTTGTTTTTTAAATTTTGTTCCCCAAATTTTTAAAAAAGTTCATATATTCAAAAAAATGTTTGTTGGGTGAAAAAATGTTAATGAATTCAAAACCGGTTCATACGTTAAATTTTTTTAAACAAACTAATGTTCATGATTTTGTTGAGAAAATAAAAAAATTCAAAAAAAATTGTCAATTCGTAAAATTCTTCACTGATTCAAAAGTATTTTATGTCTAGGATTTGATTAGTTTTTCGGAAGTCTTTATATGTCTTAGCGTTGGGAGTAGTTCGTGGTCAATGAGATTTGCTCATAAAGTTTTAAACGTTCCCTTGGGCAACATAATAACAAGTGTGACATGCACTGGCAAACTCATAGCCTTGGGATTTACCGCGTCGAATGCATTGTGATCTCGTGGACATCGCGACCATCATCGGCTAGGGTGAGAAAATAAATAAATGGCAATATGGTGAGCCACTGTGTTAATAGAGTACGCTCATATATCAGGATATTGAGTCAGACTTATTTGGTTAGCCATAATTTTTGTCTCCCGTTGCAACGCACGGGCATATTTACTAGTCAATTCCAATATCTTGACTACCCACACGCTCGTAATTGGGAGTGACGAATGCCAATACAGTATTTCAACCATCAATGTCGAGATCCAAACATTGGACTGAGTCGTCGTGAGGGGCTGAGGGCGGCACCCGACACGGGATGGCGACTAGCGACGGCGAGGGACAGCAAGCCAATGAGGGTAGCCTCTAGCCAGTGACCCGCAGTGTCCTCAGAGGGAACTCGTCGAGCGGTGTGAGGCTTCGGAAGGGGGGCGGGTGAGCGGCGGCTTCGTGGGAGAGGAGGGGAGCGCCGGAGCACGGAGCGACAATGCAAGGGGCCTGAAGGGGCGGCGGTTGTGTCTCCCGCTAGGTCGTTGTGAGCCTGTGCACTGATACGCATCAGTGCTATATAAACGGTTTTTAACCCCTTTCCGCGACGGCGCTCGAAACCGTCACCTAGTGAGTGTGGGCGATAGGGGGGTCCTTCCCACACGACCCAGAAACCGTCGGGGATAGGGAGCCTTGATGCATACAGTTGCCCCTCTATAACCGTTTCCGATGTGTCGCTTATCCGAAACGAT